AAAAAAATCCAAATTGAGCATTAAACCCTGCAGTCTGAATGTAGCCAAAATGGCATTTTAGAATTTATTTAAAGATTTTACAGATCAGTTTTAGGTCTTGCACCAAGTTACATTTCAGAACTTTTTAAAACATTTCATATCAATTGGCCGTCCTTTAACTGGTTATTACTTGATTTAATAATTTATTAGTTTTTATTTTATTTTATTCATGTATTTATCTACTTTTGATTATTCTGTTAATTGATCTCTGTCTGTCTTCGTTTTCTTTTTGTATCGTGTTTTAATCTACCGTGTTTTAAAAAGGGCTTTATAAATAAATATGTATTAATTAAAGGTGCAATGCGTAACTTTTCTGGTGTTGGGCCCGTCTTGGAGACTAAACCAGACCAAGTTAACGGTCAGATCTGTGGAGAGGCGACCCCGCTCACAGTCAGAATATTTGTTTTTCTAGGTATTTTTGAGCTTTAAAACCACCTGTAACTGAATAAATGTAAGGTAGATCTGTTTAATGTCATACTGCGGAACATTCCAGGCAGAACAATGACATGTCCCCAGGTTTTTATAATAATAATACTTGATATCTTGATGTTTTTGTTAGTGAAGAGGCACCCCAGTCATATTTTGGTTCAGTGTCAGGTAAAATTATTGTACGCGATGCTCTCTGGTTTGAGTTTCCTAAAGCTGTACATTTGTTTTCATTCTTTCTTCTCTATGGAGGATGTTGTATTCCTGGAGCACATGGAAATAATAATTGCGTGTGATTTTAATAAAAGTTAGAGTGAAAATCCTCCCTGCTCCAGCTGCCTGTGGCTCTCACATGAAACATTATAAAGCCTCATACAGTACAGCTTATACATGTACAGTACATACTCATGCACACATGTACTGACTCCCACAGTGAATTAAACCTGGATCAACCTCACAAGGAGCTGCAGGCCTGGACATGGTAATGGGCATATAGAGGAATAGTAGTAGCAGTATTAGTGGTGGTATGTGGTAGTATTAGTAGTAGTAGTAGTAGTAGTAGTAGTAGTAGTAGTAGTAGTAGTAGTGATGTGTGAAAGGTAAGCAGTGTTTTACTACTGATGGACTGGAAGAAGTTTGGGAAGATGCTTTGACAAACCTGTGAAGTGCTTGGAATTTTTATTATTAAGTAGTAGTTGTAGTAGTTGTAGTAGTAGTAGTAGTAGTAGTAGTAGTAGTAGTAGTAGTAGTAGTAGACATAGTAGTGATATATGAGGCAGTGTATTATTACTGATGGACTGCAGGAAGTTTGGGAAGATGCTTTGGCAAACCTCTGAAGGAATTTGTATTATTAAGTAGTACTACTACTACTACAAGCAGTAGTAGTAGTAGTAGTAGTAGTAGTAGAAGATGTAGTATTAGTGGTAGTGTTTTACTACTGATGGACTGGAAGAAGTTTGAGAAGATGCTTTGGCAAACCTGTGAAGTTCTAGAAATTTTTACTATTAAATAGTAGTAGTACTACTACTACTACTACTACTACTAGTAGTAGTAGTAGTAGTAGTAGTAGGAGTAGGAGTAGGAGTAGTGATATGTGAGAGATAAGCACTGTATAACTGCTAGTACTGGAAGGAGTTTGGAAAGATGCTTTGACAAATCTGTGAAGTGCATGGAATTTTTATTATTAAGTAGAACTACTAGTTGTAGTAGTAGTTTCAGTAGTAATAGTAGTAGTAGTAGTAGTAGTAGTAGTAGTAGTAGTAGTAGTAGTAGTAGTAGTTTTAATAGTAGTAGTAGTAGCAGTGATATGTGAGAGATAAGCAGTGTACAACTACTGTTACTGGAAAAAGTTTGGGAAGATGCTTTGGCAAACCAGTGAAGTGCAAGGGCATTTTTATTGTTAAGTAGTAGTAGTAGTAGTAGTATTAGTAGTAGTAGTAGTAGTAGTAGTAGTAGTAGTAGTAGTAGTAGTAGTAGTAGTAGTAGTAGTAGTAGTAGTAGTAGTAGTAGTAGTAGTAGTAGTAGTAGTAGTAGCAATAGTCTCAGAAGCTATGCAAGACTGGTTAGTGCTTGGACAGGAGACCACTGGAAATAACAGGTGCCACAGTCGGGCTCCAGTGGCAAAAAATTGTTGTTGTGTCCTTAGGCAAGACACTTCACCCACATGGCCTAATATGAAAGTGGTGCACTGTAAAGCATCTTTGAGTGTAAAAAAAAAAAAAAAAGCTACATAGATCTGATCAGTTACTATTATTTGTAGTAGTAGTAGTAGTAGTAGTAGTAGTAATGGCAGCAGTTGTAGTAGCAGTGGAAATAAAACAAAATAAGAGTTTTAATAGATGAACATAACCAAAAATGTATTTATATGAAACCTCAAATTCCAATTAGTTCAGCCGTACAGCGTTCACAAATTAAAATATACAATTAACCTTCTGCTTTAAATGGAAGCTGTAATCACATAAACTTAAAATGGATTAAATTATAACCAAGCAATTAAGAAGAAAAAGTTTGTAAATAAATGCAACACCTTGACCCTGAACATTTTGGAGTCGTCGTTATTTCTGCACTTCGGGGTGAATCTGAGGTTTATCAATTATGAAGGCTGTTTCCAAAATGTTACACCTTAGTTTTCACCTTTTTATGTTTTTAAATCTGAATCCAGCGAAATGCAGAGAGCCATGAAACAAAATGGACGTACTTTTCTTTTCTACACTTTTAATCATCTCTAGTCGTAAAATCAGCAGGACGGAGCAATGAAAACCAAACAGCATGTCTCAGAACGAGATGAATTGTGAAAGAGAAATTCAAATGATTGTAAGTAGTATTAGAATTTGTTGTTGTGATAGTAGTATTTGTAGTAGCAGTAGAAGCTGAAGTAGTGGCAGAGGAAGAAGTAATTGAGGTAGTAATGAAAAGTTCAATTTAAAAAATGTGTAGTGAAGTTGTGAGAGCCAAGCTTAGACAGGCCTTCAGCAGAAGGATTTTAGGATTTTATTGTGCATGTTTTGGGTACAAATAGTAGTAGTAGTAGTAGTAGTAGTAGTAGTAGTAGTAGTAGTAGTAGTAACAGCTGCAGCAGTATTAGTATTCGTAGTAGTAGCAGTAGTAACAGTAGTAGCAGCAGCAGTAGTAGTAGTGGTAGTAGTAGTAGTTATAGAAGCAGTAGTAGTTGTAGTAGCAGTAGTAGTTGTAGCAGTAGTAGTAGTTGTAGTAGCAGTAGTAGTAGTTGTAGTAGCAGTAGTTGTAGTAACAGTAGTAGTTGTAGTAACAGTAGTAGTAATTGTAGTAGCAGTAGTAGTTGTAGTAGCAGTAGTAGTAGTAGTAGTTGTAGTAGCAGTAGTAGTAGCAGTAGTAGTAGTAGTTGTAGTAGCAGTAGTAGTTGTAGTAGCAGCAGTAGTAGTTGTAGTAGCAGTAGTAGTTGTAGTAACAGTAGTAGTTGTAGTAACAGTAGTAGTAATTGTAGTAGCAGTAGTAGTTGTAGTAGCAGTAGTAGTAGTAGTAGTTGTAGTAGCAGTAGTAGTAGTAGTAGTAGTAGTAGTAGTAGCAGCAGTAGTAGTTGTAGTAGCAGTAGTAGTATTAGTAGCAGTACCAGCAGTAGTTGTAGTAGCAGTAGTAATAGTTGTAGTAGTAGTAGTAGTAGTAGTAGTAGTTGTAGTAGCAGTAGTAGTAGTAGTATAGTAGTAGTAGTAGTAGTAGTAGTAGCAGTAGTAGTAGTAGCAGTAGTAGTTGTAGTAGCAGTAGTAGTAGTAGTAGCAGTAGTAGTTGTAGTAGCAGTAGTAGTAGTAGTAGTAGTAGTAACAGTAGTAGTAGTTGTAGTAGCAGTAGTAGTTGTAGTAGCAGTAGTAGTAGTAGTAGTAGTTGTAGTAGCAGTAGTAAGTAGTAGTAGTAGTAGCAGTAGTAGTTGTAGTAGCAGTAGTAGTAGTTGTAGTAGCAGTAGTAGTAGTAGTAGTAGTAGTAGTAGCAGTAGTAGTTGTAGTAACAGTAGTAACAGTAGTAGTAGTTGTAGTAGCAGTAGTAGTTGTAGTAACAGTAGTAGTTGTAGTAGCAGTAATAGTTGTAGTAGCAGTAGTAGTAGTAGTAGTAGCAGTAGTAGTTGTAGTAACAGTAGTAGTAGTAGTAGTAGTTGTAGTAGCAGTAGTAGTTGTAGTAGTAGTAGTAGTAGTAGTAGTAGAGTAGTAGTTGTAGTAGCAGTAGTAGTTGTAGTAGCAGTAATAGTTGTAGTAGCAGTAGTAGTAGTAGTAGTTGTAGTAGCAGTAGTAGTAGTTGTAGTAGCAGTAGTAGCAGTAGTAGTAGTAGTAGTAGTAGTAGTAGTAGTAGTAGTGTAGTAGTAGTATAGTAATAGTAGGAGTAGTAGTAGTAGTAGTAGTAGTAGTAGTAGTAGTAGTAGTAGTGGTAGGAGCAGCAGGAGTAGTAGTAGTAGTAGTAGTAGTAGTAGTTAGTAGTAGTAGTAGTAGTAGTAATAGTAATAGTAGTAGTAGTAATAGTAGTAGTAGTAGTCGTAGTAGTAGTAGTGGTAGGAGCAGCAGGAGTTGTAGTAGTAGTAGTAGCAGTAGTAGTTGTAGTAACAGTAGTAACAATAGTAGTAGTTGTAGTAGCAGTAGTAGTTGTAGTAACAGTAGTAGTTGTAGTAGCAGTAGTAGTTGTAGTAGCAGTAGTAGTAGTAGTAGTAGTAGCAGTAGTAGTTGTAGTAACAGTAGTAGTAGTTGTAGTAGCAGTAGTAGTTGTAGTAGCAGTAGTAGTTGTAGTAGCAGTAGTAGTTGTAGTAACAGTTGTAACAGTAGTTGTAGTTGTAGCAGCAGTAGTAGTAGTTGTAGTAGCAGTAGTAGTAGTAGTAGTAGTAGTAGTAGTAGTAGTAGTAGTAGTAATAGTAATAGTAGTAGTAGTAGTAGTAGTAGTAGTAGTAGTAGTAGTAGTAGTAGTAGTAGTAGTAGTAGTAGTAGTACTAGTAGTAGTAATAGTAAGTAGTAGTAGTAGTAGTAGTAATAGTCATGTAAAAAATATTTGACATAGAAATAAAAAGTATTTGAAAAACGTACAGTGAAGTTGTGGGAGCCGGTGACTGCGCTGCCGTCCTCCAGGTAGTGTGTCTCTGTGTACGAACTGGCAAACAGACCACTGCAAAACACAAAACACAAAACACACACAACTCACGTCAGAACAAACGATACTTCTTCATGAATACAATATCTTGATCTTTCTTTCTTTATGTTTACATTTTTCAGAGATATGTAAGATCTTGTTTCCCTCTTTCTATAACAGAGCACAGCTGGATATGAACTTGTCACTTCCTGCTGGTAATGATAAAATTAATCATGTTATAAAACCATATTAGCCGCAAACTAAAAACATCCTGGGATTTAAAACATTTACTTTACATCGGAACAAATCTTATTAGCCAATTAAAGCTCCTATATTACATCATATTGACTCTTGTGAGCTTTAAAGGTTGTATGGAGGATATTTTTTTAGTTTCAAATTGTCAATGAAAGTTTAAAATAAAATTACAGAGATGCAGCAGCCTTGTAATTATGATGACCAAAAAAAAAAAAAGAGAATGAAAATCTATCAACTGTGGACGTAGTGAGGCCAGATAAACATCAGCCAATAGAAAACAAGGCTCCCTCTTTATCTATTGGCTGTTAGGTTGTCAATCAAACGCCCTACATTTCTAGTGTAACAGACTCGGTTTATGCAGCGGCTTTTTGAAACTGTAGCTTCCTCACAATTCGCACAAAGTTTGTTGAGATGGCGGACGGGAATCCACGACCAGTTCGCCGCAAAAGAAAGTCCGTTTTTGACGTCGCTGAAAGAAGAAGAGAAGGGGAAAAGGAGCGAAGACAAACGGAGGTGATTCTTAGAGATCTCTTCGAGCGATTGCGCGAATGAAGCAGAAGACGGGTCTAAAAACTGACTAAATTACTTCTAGACAGTTCACTTCAACAGTAATTCTGAACACGCACCGGCTGTAAACAAACGTGATTTCTAGAGTAAAGAGGCGGGAGGAGCTGTGGGGGAGGGAGGTGGTGTCACACATGCACAACATTTGAAAAAGGACTGTCGCTGTATTTCTCTTCCCTTAAAAAATCCTCTATACAACCTTTAAGTCATGTTATAATGTTGTCACCACCTCAAAAACAGACCTGGACTTGTGTTTTGTTTCATTCACACAGGTCTGAGTAACCCTTTTATTAGTCTTTCTGGATCTCCAAAGCTCAAAACGCTCTGTTCCACGTTGTGATGTCATGAAGCGGTAGTTTCAGGGTTCCTACTCTTTTTCACTGATAAAATTTCAAAAACTTTTCCATGACTTTACGGCGCCTACATGTGTAGAATTGATCAGACTTTTAGGGTTAAATATAAAATGTTAAACCTTTCCACTCACCTCATGGTTTAGTATTTAGTTTTTTAACATTCAAAATACTGTCAGTGCATTTATTGTCGTCTCTTTTAAAGAGAACTTAACAGAGCTGGTGTCACGGTCTGACCTCGCAACATTAGGATTCGTTCACTTGACAGTAGGCAGGTACTTTTTTTCATTTAACCAATCGCTGCTATTAGTCTTGACGTATGTAATGCGCCGTTAACGAGGCTAACTGGTGTATTAAGCTTTTCCCAAATCCCGTAGGAAGAAGGACAATAACCTCTTTCCCCTTGATGAAATCGGGAATCGTTGCCAACACAGAAAGTATGACTCTTCACTGACTGGCTGATGCCCGAACTCTCACATCCGGGATTCTTGCAAATCATCTAGTGCAGGCATGTCCAAACTACAGCCCGTGGGCCAAATGCGGCCCTCGGACAAATTTTTCTTGGCCCTCAGGCTTCCCGGTGATTTGGCCCAAATTACCTTGCATCAATTAAAAATTTACTTTACTAAGATTTAATGTGTGGTTTGAGGATTTTAGAGTGAATAAAGACTGATGGCTCATTCTAAAATGTTAAACATGCACATATTTCAATTATTCACTGTATTGAGCACCAGTCGATCAGCCCTCTGCTTCATCTATGTTTAGAAATGTGGCCCTTGATGAAAAAAGTTTGGACAACCCTGATCGTGTATTCTGATTCCTGACCTAGTTGCTGGAGAGAAATGACTAGTAGTTGCGTGAAAGAGATACTAAAATCCCATGACTTTTCCAAAACTTTCATTGAATTGACTTTTCCAGTATTTCCATGACCGTATCAAACATGTAGTTTGCAAGTCAACAGTTCCTTTTCTGTTCCAGTTCCTAACCTTCAGTTCAGTAGAGACTGGGAATCCCTAAGGAACAATATCCAAATCACTCAGTACAATATGATCACGATATGCATCTCACGGTACAATATTTATTGAGATATTTTGAAGACGTCAATATAATTGTAGATAGGACACATTTTTGCTTTTAAAATACCATGGCAAGATTTTTGTGTGAATTATCTCCATCATAATCCCAAAAATTCAAGTAAAAACATATCTCTTCATGTTGTGTGCGCTGAAATGAATCATGGGATATGTAGTTTTTGATGTTCATGAGCTGTTGCTACTATAAAACAAAGCATTTAAGCGAAGAAACTTGTAATTCGATATATTGTGGCAGCCCACGATATTATTGTGAGACTTTTGACGATACGATATCACGAAATTTCATGATATAATTCAGTTATTGTTACATCCCTAGGGTTGAAATCACCCAAAGGATTCTAGTGAAGGTGTATGGAGTTTAAAAACACAGTGGATCACTTCCTATAGTCCCGTTTGAGAGAAGAACTCCGCGTAAACCTGCAGGGTTTGTGCGTTAAACGTGTGAATGAAACAAAACACAACTCCGGGTTTGTTTGCGACGAGGAGACAACATTATAACAGAACAGACAAATTCATTTAAGGACATTTTATATTCTCATTATTCTTACTCCCTCGTTATTTTATGGACTCACTCTTCTCTTCTCCAAAGGCGTCACTGTTTTGATTTATTCTCGTTTTTCAATATGAGAGCCCCGTCTGCGATACGGCCTTATCGATCCACTCCGACGTTTTCTGTAGGTTTTGCCCGCGTTGTATTTTATCCTCCATCAATTTATTATCAGGCATTGTATGAGCTGATTAAGTCCATGTGTATTGTGGGTAATGAATTATGGATTGATATCGAGTGGAATTTCATGGTGCGTTCATGGACTGTGAAAGTGGTTAGTAAAATACAGCGCCGAGACTCAGGGTCAGACGTGTTTTTCTAATTCAATACAGGAACATTTTATTGCCTGTTCTTTTTTAATATGTTTTTTTATCATTGTTATAACGCTAATCGTTCATGTCACGTTACAGAAATTTTGCGTTATGAGTAACTTGTTTCTATGGATACGTCTTTGCTCTGTCTGGAATGTTCCGCAGTGTGACATTAAACAGCTCCACCTTATATTTATTCAATTAGAAGTGGTTTTATAGCTCAAAAATATAAAAAAAAAACAGGCATTCTGACTGTAAGCAGGGTCGCCTTTCCACAGATCTGACCTGTAACTCGGTCCGGTTTGGTCTCCGTGAAGATACAAACGTTTAATGCCATACTGTGGAACATTCCGTCTAAAGTAAACTGTGTAAGTTTTCTGCCGGAAGGTCACACGTCCTTGTTTCCGTGGAGATTATCGTTATTGCTTTGCCTTAAATTCTCCACAGTACGGCATTAAATGTATCAATCGTCATGGAGACAAGCACGTACCACCAAGAGATCAGGTTGCAGGTCATATCTATGGAAAGGCGAGCGACCCTAACACAGTAAGACAGTATAAAACATGCAAGATAGATCATTTAATACCACTTGTTATGACCCAGGTAGATCAAACATATTAAAGAGGACACAGGAGGCGAAAGGGTTACAAAAGTAAAAGTTGGTTTTATTTTTAACTTAATTTTAATTTACTTTAAAAATGCTAAAACCCTCCCGTGCCCAAAAAGAACCAAGAAAAAAGTAGAAGCCGGACATCACTAAACTAAAGGAAAAAAGATATCCCCAAAACTAACCTTACCAAACAAAAGGCAAAAACAGGACAGCCAGTCAACAGGTCAACTTAACTAATTAGATGATTCTTTTGTGGCAAAAAATTTCCAACTAACCCTAAAATCAAAATTGATTCAAATGAAATAACTCGTGTCTCATGCACCATATTTCCCGTACGTCATTGTCGATGATTGATGATAATCTAAACTGGAAAGAGCATGATGACTGGGTGACCAGAATAATCCATAAATCTCTTGGTATTATAAGAAAAGTTTGTACATTTCCGGACTCAAAATCAATACTTACATTATACTATAGTTTAATTTATCCCTATCATAGTCTGGGCTGCACTTTCTCTACTACTCTGAGCAAAATATTATTGGTGCAAAAACATTTTGTTCGAATTGCAGTTCAATCCATGCCACTTACATCGTCTGCTAATTTATTCATCAAACATAACATTTTTAATATTTATGAGATTAATATTTATCAAATGTGTATTTTTATGTGTAAAATTCTTTATAATTCAACGACGATTTCCAAACATTTCACAGTTTACTTTAAAACCAATGCAGAGATTCATAAATACAAAACTCGTCAAACTCATCATTTTTATATGTTCCAAAATGTCTCACATCAAGAGCTCAGTTTTGCTACGATACAAAGGCTGTAAATTCTGGAGTTTAAAAAAAGTTTGAGGAAATGTTTGATATTTCATGATCATGTTTGATAATCAGTCAATTCTGCATGTTTCATTGTGTTTTAATCCATGTTTGAATCAAATAAATTTAATCCAAGGTGTGTAAATGTGATTTTTTTTTTAGTAATGCACAACTATAATGTTCAATTTTTAATGTATTCATAAGGTGGAGGCTTTAATATTAGCTCTTTTGGGGTTTTTTGCCTCTTCCAGCACCTACTTTTTTTATCTTTATCTTATCGTTATATACGTGCAAAATAAAAATAAAATAATAATAATAATAAATAAATACATAAATACCATAGTGTGGAACATTGAGACAAGCAAGGGGTGGACCTTCCATCAGAAAAATTAAATAGTACTAATAAAAATTTACACATTATGACACTGTTAACAACAACTAGCATGCTAACAGCGCACCAACTCAACTTCAACGACGTGCAGTT